TATATAGATTTCTGTGGATCTTGAAAATAAATTTTGTTTCTCTAAGTATTGTTTCTTTGAGTATTGTTTCACACCTCCGAGATTAAAAAATCTGAATATTCTTTTTTCGATTTATTAGTCTTCATTGATTAACGATCTTCGTTTAAATATGACTGATTTATTTATTGATTTCCTTATTCAACCTTTGTTTGGTGTCGTTTTCCATCTTATACATGCATTGATCATATCTTCAATGTATTGATCTAGGTAATTAATTTTGACTATCAGCCTACTTATTACTTTTTTGTAAATTTCAATAGAATAATGATTTGAAATTTGCTTTATGTGAATACCTTTCATATATCTTGTTAACATTGTTCTCTTCTTGTCACTAAATCGATTTCTGTATTTGCAACAAAATTATTAATTGATTAATTTAACTTCAAAAAGGTATAAAACTCATATAAAATGTAGTAACATGGCCATAGATTTACACTCAAACATCATCTGGTTTGTTTTGTTTCATCTTCCTCATTTTATTTTATATTTTGATAAGCCTTTAAACTTATAATTTCTACTCCCTTTTTTATTGTTTGATTAGTGACTTCACTAAATTTTTATTGTTTAATTATACTTCTAAATTTCTACAAGAATCAGTTACAAATCATTGTTTCAAATTGTTGTGTTTTATTTATTTATTTATTATTATTAATCATAGGTTGGTGTTTTGATACAACAATATTCGTTGGTATTTATAGTTGAATTCTATCTGTAGATACAATTGGATATGATTCTAATATATACTGTGATTTGTGAAATGTAATTTGAAGCAAGATCGCCCTTAAATTTATAGCTCATATTTTGATAAAAGCATAAGATTGATATAACAGAAGCATACAAGAAGAAGAAGTTGCTTCATGTTGATCTTTGTCCAATGAAAAGTTGTGCCATATGTAGATGCCTCACCAAAACACCAAATATATGTTCTTTTAAATCTAATTGACAATAATTTGTCATTGTAAAACTTTTTTTTCTTAAATTGAAGCATATTCTTTCTCATTGATGTTTCTTTAGGAATTGCTTATGTTCCTATAATGTTATGTTGAATTTGGTTGAATATGTAGAGTTGTCTCATTAGTTTAATGGGACTAATGTTTCGTTGGTGATTGAAACATGTATTATGCTAGAAATAGTTGAGCTTTGTATCCAAAAAAATTCTTAGATTTTGTAAAAGGAAAAGGCATGAATCTTTGATATGCTTTTAAGACCATTAGCTAGAAGTTCATTTTATAATTGCGTTGACAGCTTTGCTTTTTAAATAAAGCAAAAGAGGGGGCACGTTAACAGTAAAAAATGGTCATTCATAAATATTGAATTCTTTTGACTTTCTAGGATCATCAGTATTAAAATGCAGCGATACCATTAGAAAAATATGATTTGAAGGATAAAGATAAAATTGTAAGAAAGTTTTCTCAGTCTCACAAATCTAATATATCATAATATAGAAAAGGTAAAAAAAAATTTTTGTAAATTAAATAAAAAAATAAACAATTAGAAAATTATAATCAATTTTCCACTCGAAAAAGTTATTTAACAATGTTAATTATTTTAAGTTTTTATTTCCCCGTGCGGCAACGCACGGGCTGACAGCCCTAGTATATTTTAATGGTAATTTTAGAAAATAAAATTAACAATAGTAATTTTGGAATAGGAAAAAAATACTAGTATTTATGTGAATTACCATACATATATATATATATATTGAATTTAAGTTATTTTTATTATTATTAGAAATAACTCTGTCTTCGTAGAACAATCTCAATATGTATAAAACAAAGAGCAACATAAAAATGAATAAACGTTTAGGTAATTAGAAACTGTGAAGACTCCTTTAAGGAGTGATGATGAGATCGATATACAAAGAGGTGATATAGTCTTTGATCTTCCCTCCAGCGAAGGTGTACCCATCTCCGTACTTATAAATCACATCTGCCAAGCGTCCATAGTTCAAAACAGGCCGTAGACCATGAAGTGGTACAAAACTGGCTTCCTTCAAGAACTCTTCGTTCATGACCTTAGACATGTGGTTGGTCATTTTCTCAAACTCAAGACACGCTTTTGCCTCAGTTACTCCATATTGCTTTGTGTAACAGTTGATCCCATTTGCAACATCTCCTCTCTTCATCTCCTCCTGATACAAATTCACCATATTTATATTAGCCTTTTCTCATATACATATGATTTTAATAAGACTTTCTCTCTATGTGTGGATGATACCTTAAAGGTAGAAATATCATCTCTGAGACGAGATTTCACAAAAAGAGCTTGGTTGAGTTTTGGTCTTGCCCTCAGCCATTCATAAATTTCGTCTCCCGCAATATCTCCCATAGCGATGAAGGTGATTGCTAGCATCACTTCACCTGCTGTCGAAGACATCCCAACCTCTATGTACTCTTCATAGCTTGGTACATACCCTGTCTTTGACCATTCGGCTTCTTGCAGGTACCCTTTCATGGCTATCTTGAGCTGCAAAAACGTTATATAAATACATACAAGTTACACGTAACCTTTAATTAGCTTAATGATCTAGGAAAAAAATCCACATGAAATTCAAGCATATAGAGAAGATGAGCATGCATTTTCAACATTAGTTATTATCTTTTTCTACGTAATAAGGTTTTTTAATAAATCAATGAAACAGTAGTACCTGCTCATATGCGTATTGCATAGTAAAAGATCTTCTTTCTGAACTCACATTTTCGCCGAGTTCTTTAAAGAAGTCGAACATTGTTCTGAAGACAATTTTGAGATAGTCCGGTAGTACATCTAACTTGTCATAATCCCACCTTTAATTTCCATATACAATTTCTCAACTATTAGGGATCAAATGTAACGATTTATATAATAATTAATAAATAACAATCTATATACATTAGGAACCAATTTAATTTTTTTTTTATAACATTCGATTATTAATTAGGATCCTGTATAATATTTGTTACGTACCTTTCAACGGATTGAACGAGGCTCTTAACTTCGTCAAGAGTACCATATACATCAAATGTGTTATCCAAGATATCAAATAAAATGATGGCTTTGGCTACCATGATCCGCGCAGCTGAATATCGTGGCTCGTAATAAATCCCAGTCGCCCAGAAATAAGGCTCCACCAATCTCTCTCTGAAGTAATTTGGTATCTTAGATACTAGATCTAGCTCCCTCCACCATCTGCATACATACATCTAATATTAGTCGTATAAAAGTAAAACTATCATTAAGTAGTATATATATGTATATGAAGCATTATTAATAATAATACATACGCTGTTATAGTTTTCAGATCTTGAATGTAATGCAGCTGCATGAACCTAAAGTTGAGCTTGGCCAACTTGAGTAACATTTCATGGTGATCAGTTTCTAGTTCGTAGAAGCCAATATACTCCCTTGCCACCAATACTTCCAAATTTAAATTCTGAGGTATATGTAAAGCAGCTTGTATGAGCTTAGTGAGATGTGGATGATGTTTGGCTTTGTCGCCTACCACAAATAACTCCAAGTGTTTTTGCGTGAAACTCATTGCTTCTTCAAGTATATCTTCTGTCGTTATCCCAAAGTGCGACGCTTCGTAGAAGCTTAGCATTCCTCTTACATCATCAGTTAGACATTTCTTAAAATCTCCATCATCTCCTTTGAACTTGTTGAATATATCTACGTTACATATTTGTATTTATATGTAAGTATGAAATATTTATACGACTGTAATTAAACCTTTAAGGTCTTTCTTTGACGAACCAGTAGCAGGTGAAAAAGAAGGGACCGTTGAGTTTCTGAAGTCGGAGAAGCCGTGAAAGTGTTTTGGGTTTCTGAAGCTTTTTGATGTTATGGAGCTTGTCTCAAACACAAAATTGGGCCCTTCTATAAGTTTTTTAAAATAAATGGGCCTTAAACCTTTCTAAAGTCTTATACCGAGGCCTACTCTTTGGTACCATGACGAAAAAGAAAGAAATAAGACGAAAAATTTACCATTTGTTGAAATTAAGATATGGTTCGATGTTTTGTTGAAATTACCTAAGGATTTGGTCATTCCAACAATCCTTGGTTTTCTAGTCAGACTCTGAGAGGATTTATTATGTCTGAGTGATTAGATTACCTTTAGTTCTTTCTCAGTAGCAATGTCATGAGATATGATAAACTTTTTCACTCTATCGATTGGATCTCGCACCTAAAGTCATAAGATACAAGTATACTTATTATAAAGTTGAAACTCTAATGACTGAGCAGTGTTATTAGGAAAGAAGATAGTAACTAACCTGCCTCACGCCTGAGATCTCATCACGTGTACGGTAAGTGCTTCCTGGTTCTGACATAGAGTGACCATGGTACCTATACGTGTCCATCTCAAGGATCTGCTCAAACAAAGGTAACGTATGATGGTCATTCCCCATAAAATTCAACACTTCCAGGGTCAATAAAATTCAAGACAGTGCAACAAAAACTTCCTCCAATTATTTGTGGATTCTTCAACTCAATTCAAGTGTAGAGCCTTTCTTGATTCAGCTTCTCAGTTCCCTCTTTAAACAACTCTCCTGTATGTCAAAACGCAAAAATTAGATCAAAGAGCATTGATTATTTTCTTCTTTTAATTGAAGGAACTGTTCTTGTCTCTAAATGTTGTTTTCTAGTAACATATTTCCTTAAACACTCATAGACAACAAACAAATAAAAGGAGGACGTTTTTGGTCTTCTGAATATGAAAAACGTCTTTCTCTTTGTCAAAGTATAATTTTAAAAGCACAAAATTTGGTATGCCTCGAACTTGGGATAACAACAGAAAACGAAAAGAGAAGAGACATCAAAGAGCTGTGTTTACTTTACTACTAGTGGCGTTGTTTGTTTTCTACACCGAGCTGTCGGAATGTAGTAAATAAAGAAGCAAGTGGGAGAGGTGAAGACAAAAAAAACTCACTGAACCCGTGTTGTACTCGCCACGCAAAGGCATAATTTTGAAATTCGTAAAATCATAAACTGTGTCACACACCAAACAACACTTTTATAATACACAAAAAAAAAGCATCTCTATCTTTAGCTTCTCCGTCCGTATCCAAGACGACATCATTGTTCCACCACCTAACTCCATTTATTTTGCTTTCTCTGTCCGTATCCAAGACTACTACTACCACCAGTATCAAGCTTTCTTGATAATAATTGTATGTTAAGAAAAAAAAAAAAAAAAAAGGAAATGGGAAGTGTTAATGCTTATGCTTTGATTGAGCTTCTCGCCACGAAGTTTTGTGTTTCTATCTGTTTGGTTGGTTTGTTTTATTTCTTGCATGAACATGGCAGACAAATTATAGTGATAATAAAATTCAAAGAAACTCAAAGTGATCATAAGAGGGTTGGTTCTTTATTCCCTTTCGTGGCCACAATGTTTGGTATTTGGTAGTCGGACACACCAATTGAAACCTAACATTAGTTAACTCATACTAAACATGTCTTAGTTTGATACTACATAGTTCGTCGTTTTATATTCGCAGCACTAACGAAAAAAAATTCGTTTTTAGCTATTTGAGTGGTACTACGCACTAGTCACACACTCAAATTCTACAAAACGTTGACAAAAAAAAAAAAAAAAGGAAAAAACATTTTATTAAATCAAATGGCACCACCACATAACGAGAATATTCGTAGTGAGACACGTTCCTTACTCGTTATACCAACAACAAAAATGTTAAAACATATAAACAAATATATATATACATAAACTCTTTAGATTCATTTTTTTTTTTGTCAACTTTTATCATTAAACTTTAAAATCCATAAAGGGTTACAACATCAAGGAGCCCATTACATGATATTAAAGCCCAATTAACCCACTAAAACATTACAGCTAATTAAACAAAATAGGTTAACTAGGACACGTATGTGAACACGTGTAGATACTCAAAGTGGTGTGGAAGAACACTCCATTACTCATCACCGCCTTTCACACCGGAACTGAAATAATGGCTAGATCTAGATTTTCCAGCGAGCAAATCACCTTTTTGAGCACGAAGATCTATCATATTTCAGTTTTGGACTCCAAATTCGTCAAAGATCTTTTGCAGCTTTCTCCGAACATAAGGAAACAGAGAGCTTTGAATCTTCAGAGCAGTTAATTCTTGGAAGACATAAGGAGAAGGTGAGATTTCAGATTAGTCGCAAAACACGCTCTCCTAATCCGTTCTTCACCAACTAATGAATTCCATTCACCACGATTTACAAACTCAAAGAGAAACCGTCATCCCTTGCCGAGTATACGGCTTCCACATGGGTATGAGGATTTACTCTCCTCTTGATTGAAATCGAGCAGCCTAATGATTCAAAAATCTCTGTATCACCTCTCGGCTTCAATCTCCTTAACATAAAAGAGATTTATCTTGCTCTGCAAAAGGAAGATAAAGACTAAAAACTTACAGAATTACCATAAAAACTAAGAGAAACTCGCATCTAGGCGAGAGAGATAATCCGGATATAACCGGAACAAAAAACCGACAGAAACTCGTCGGAAAATAGTACTTAAGCTTTCCCTCTCTGAAAGATCCGAGAGAGATAAGAGAGAGAAAGCTCTTGTCCCAAACTTAGTTATTGTTTTGTCGACAATAAACTCTTTAGATTCATTTTCTTCCAATATTTACATAAACTTAATTTGTTAAAATCTGGAAATCCATATTTAAAAATTACTAGTAAAATCATTTTTCTTTTCGTTTTTGGAAATATTATATGCGTTAAGAAATTACAGCTCAGAAAACAAGCGTGCGGCGCACGTGAGAAAGTTGAGTTAGCTAATCAAACCAATCAAAAAGCTTCTCATCGTTAAATCTTAACCGTCCATCTTTGTATCGAGCAAGCCCATACAACTTTTAAAGAAGCAAATCCAGCTGGTTCCATCGAGTTCACAGCTGGCACAAACCGATCACAAGTTCCAAAAGCTCCCTCCCACATTAAATTTTCACTCTTACGGTACACCAACACACAGACAATAATTTTAATTACCCAAAAAATATTATTAATCCCATCAGTTAGAATAGGTAATTACGTTGGGACTGATCTCATTAAACACACCTTTCTCTAAAAACCTAATAAACATTTAACGACTAAACGAACATCAAATCCTCCACGCGGTTTCAAAACGCGTGTAATCCAAATCTCTCTCTCTTAACTCTTTATCTCTTAAAAGCCAAATAAAGAGAGACTTGGCTTCTTCTTCTTCTTCTTCTTCTTCTTCTTCTTGAACTCTTTGGAGTAATTTATCTCCACCAGCTTCACAGTTCTTGAAAATGCTATACCAGTAGCAGAAATTAAAGTATAGATCTTTACAGCAAATCGCGTTTTCGAAAAATGCGGTTGCGTTTTCAGATGAAATCCGCAGTTTTAGCGTTTGTTTTCTTCTTGGTGATTATTCCACAGTTTACCGTCGGAATACGGATGATTCCGGGGAGGATCTCAGCCGTCTCCGCCGCCGTGGGAAATGGATTTGATTTTGGTCCGTTCGCGGAAGCTCCCGAGTACAGAAACGGCAAGGAGTGCGCGTCTCAATCGTCCAACAGAGAGAACTTCGTGTCGTCTTGCGATGTTTCGTTAGTTCATGTAGCTATGACGCTTGACTCAGAGTACTTGCGTGGCTCAATCGCGGCCGTTCATTCTATGCTCCGCCACGCGTCGTGTCCAGAGAACGTTTTCTTCCATTTCATCGCTGCCGAGTTTGACCCGGCGAGTCCACGCGTTCTGAGTCAACTCGTCCGATCTACGTTCCCGTCGCTTAACTTCAAAGTCTACATTTTTCGGGAAGATACAGTGATCAACCTCATCTCTTCTTCGATCCGACAAGCCCTTGAGAATCCATTGAACTACGCTCGGAACTACCTCGGAGACATACTCGATCAGTGCGTGGACCGAGTCATTTACCTAGACTCGGACATCATCGTGGTCGACGATATCACGAAGCTTTGGAACACGACTTTAACAGGGTCACGAATCATCGGAGCTCCGGAGTATTGTCACGCTAACTTCACAAAGTACTTCACTTCAGGGTTCTGGTCCGACCCGGCTTTACCCGGAGTCTTCTCGGGTCGAAAGCCTTGTTATTTCAACACGGGGGTGATGGTGATGGATCTAGTTAGATGGAGAGAAGGTAATTACAGAGAAAAGCTTGAAACTTGGATGCAAATTCAGAAGAAAAAGAGAATCTACGATTTGGGTTCTTTGCCTCCGTTTCTTCTAGTCTTTGCTGGTGACGTTGAAGCAATTGATCATAGGTGGAACCAACATGGATTAGGAGGAGACAATGTACGAGGAAGCTGTAGGTCTTTGCACAAAGGTCCAGTGAGTTTGTTGCATTGGAGCGGGAAAGGTAAGCCATGGGTGAGGCTTGATGAGAAGAGACCTTGTCCGTTGGATCATCTATGGGAACCGTATGATTTATATGAGCATAAGATTGAGAGAGCTAAAGATCAGGCTTTGCTTGGGTTCTCTTCTTTGTCAGAGTTAACAGAAGATTCAAGCTTTTTGTGAAGAGTGTTGTAAGTCAAAACATCATTCGTTTACTTGTTTTTTTTGTAGTTTAAGGTATTACAAATACATTGTTGAGAGTTGAGAGATATATATTTTTTGACTGTTGGTGGTGTAAAAATTGACTAGTGAGAGAAGAGTTTGTAGAAGCCATTGATGAGGACTAGCTATAGGAGAATTCTTTTTGTAGAATTGTATTTTGTTATGTTCTTTACCCTATATGGTTCTGTTGATCTCAATTGTCTGTGTTGAGTGACTTTTCAAGAATATGTAGCAAGTGTTGTTTTAGCATGAAATAAAATCCAAATTTGTCAAGCTTCTTCATTGTAGATTTCATATAAGGCTCTTTCTCAATATGGTTACTTGCTAAGGTGAAGAAAAGAGTTGGTTGAATCTGGACTGTAGTAATGAAGCAGAGTGAAATAAGAGAAGAAGAATGAAGTTCAGGTACATTACTCATTACGTTTATTTGAATCTCTGGTGATATTTAAGTCTTTGGCTCCTAGGAATTATTAATTCTCAAACTGTATAAACACAATTGTAAGATGCACAAAGCTTATGCCTTCAAGTCTTTTACTCCATAGTAGTCAACATTGGTCAAACTTTTGCGAGTTCATATCAAAAATGAAGAACTCATCTGAAAAATGATAGATTTGGGCTATTAATGGGCTGTGAAGATTTGGGATATTAGTTCTTTCTCAAAGCCTTTTAAATAGATTTAAATGGAGACATAGGTTGGCATGATACTGATTAAGGTCTGTGAAGATTTGGCTACTCGGGTCTTAAACTGAAACTTAATCGGTACATTGATTATGATCGAGATCGTCTAACAACAGGTAACAACTAACCTTTCTTTAATATTGATGATAATAGATGGGACTTACGTTTTGTGTTTCGACCAAAAGTATAAAGTACATTTGTATTACAGTATATGCTCTCTTGTATAGTACATTGCTTTTGTATAGCTTAATTAGAGTCTGTATAAGTTGAGATTAGCTGGTATAGAGGCTTTGGTTTAGGCCTGGTCATATGTATATAAACCCCCAATTGTACATTTTACATAATTAATGAGAATGAGATTCTTTTACTAATAATTTGACTTTTGATTATTACCAAACCATTATTAGCGACCAAAACTAGCCAGTTAACATACAACAGTTAACAAATCTCTTTTGTCCGCCGCTTAATAGTCAGAACTGTACTAATATCCTCTACTCTAGTCCCTTTTGGTTCGGTCATAAGTTCTCACTTCTAAACACTTCTTTAGTTGAAGACAAAAAAAAAACACTTCTTTAGTTTACTTAGCTTCCGACAAAGGTCCCACCTCCTTGTCTTCGTTGCTCCATCCTTCTGTCTGATTCTGATCTAATCTCTTCTTATTTCACTTCGTCTCTCTCTCTTTCTATCTCCCAATATCTGAGTTGGGTATTCGTTACTATTATTTTTTGATTCGTCTTCTTCTTGTGTTTTTACTTTCTCCCAAAAGTATCGAACTTTGAAAAGGCATTGGTGAAAATCTTTACTTTGACAAGTGTTTGTTACACTATTTTGGAATCAACACGATTTTTGTGGGCTATCTTCACTTTTTCAGGTAAGCTTATAAGATTCTCTTTCTAAATTCTCTTTTTTTCTTTTTTTTTTTTCTTTTTGGATTTGAAATGATTACTTTCCTTTGCTTAGTGTCAATAATTGATAAGGGTTTGGCTCTATTCTTTACTTGTTCAATTATTGAAGCTTACTCAATCAGTTTTACTTTCAGAAGAATTTTAGTTTGCTCACCTAAGAGGGTTTTCGATTCAGTGATTAAGATTATTAAAAAAATGCTGAAGGTGAAAGAGTCTATTAATTAGTCTGCTATGTGCATTACAGTGAACCCTAAATGATTGGATGTTACAATTGGTATTGTTTTAGTCCAAATCCAAGTTGATGCTGTTTTGTTCTTAGCTTCTTCAAGTTTGAAAATGATAAGAGTTTCTTGTGTTCCGTGTGGATTAGGATTCTTTCTGATGAGCATTAATGATTAGATATGGAAGTTGGTATCGCCAGTAGTGAAGATAAGGTAATACCCATTTGACTACGTCAACTTGCTCTGCTGTGTTTGTTTTTTAGATTTATTCTTACATTATGACAAAGGTCTATTAACATTACCGTTAATGTCCATGATCTGTTCTGTTCTGTTTGTGTGTGGTTGTCATGCTTTAAAATGGCCTGTTTGTTGATGAATAAACAGATAATGACCGCTGATTCATCGAATCAAGAACTGCAAGTGTCTGTTTCGTTTGGTAAGTTTGAGAATGATTCACTTTCGTGGGAGAAATTTTCGTCTTTCTCTCCAAACAAGTACTTGGAAGAAGTGGAGAAGTGCGCAATGCCAGGATCAGTAGCTCAGAAGAAAGCTTATTTCGAATCACATTACAAGAAGATCGCTGAGAGGAGAGCCGATATCATCACGGAGCAGGAGAAACTATTGGAGAGGAATGCATCTTTCAGGCCGAGTGTTCAGCACCGAGAAAAAGCTTACGACAGTGACAATGACGAGGCAGTGATGATTGAGTCTAGTGCTTGTTATGGATCTAATGGTGAAAGTACTTCAGAAAAAGATAATCTTGTTGCCAGCAGTGCCACTGAGGTGAATGAAATGTTTATCCATGAGCTTCTTGAAGAAACCATGGACTTCGAGGAATGTCAAAGCTCGGCTGATGCAGGGCACGATCTGAATACCTTGAAGTTGGAGAAACTTGAAGAGATTGTCCAAGTGGAGGATAAAGAGAAACCAGAAGAAGTTGTTTGTATGAAGGAAGATATAAAAGAAGAAGTGAAAGAAGATATTTCATCAAAGGATATACGTGAAAAGATTGAAACACCAATGAGGGAGACAAAGAAACAGAAAGATCATAATCCAATCAAGAAGACAGATAAAAATGTGCAAACAAACCATATGAGAGGCTCTCCCAAGGTAGATACCATATGCTTCCGTAATAATTACATGTGTGGCGTTTCATATTTCTTTCAAATAACTGTGACCTGATCTTACAGCCTAATCAGTTGACCAAGAACCAGATCACGAGCAAGGTTGTAACCAGTAGGAAAACTCAACCAAGCAAGGAGAAAAACGTGATAAAAGCAACAAATAAAGCAGCATCACCTGTCTCAAAGGCTTCAGGGTTTTCAACTCCAAGAGTGTCCAAGCCACCTTCAACAATCAGTTCAATCTCTACTTCTCGCCCTTCAGTAAAGAAGGAACATGTCTCAACATTACCGAGAAAGAAACAGACCGCTCCAAAGTCATTGCAAGTTCCTCTTAATCCAGATCAGTCAGGTTCCGATCCCACTGCTCTAGCAACAACAAGAAAGTCCTTGATTATGGAACGTATGGGAGATAAAGACATCGTAAGACGTGCATTTAAGACTTTTCAGAAGAGTTTTGACCAATTGAAACCTTCTGGTGATGAACAAGATACAACTCCAAAGCAGGTATAGTCTAATAATATTTCACCAAGTGATAAAATACTGCGGTTAATAACTAACATTGATTATTCTACCAATTTTTTACACCAGGTTCCTGCAAAGGCAACTGCTGTTTCGAGGTTAGCTACTAGTAGTCAGAAAAACAGCAGGTATAACTAGGATTTATGCTCTCTTTTTTGTTCTATATCTCCTTTCTTACTTTGAAACCCAATTTGCTCATCCATCAGCATCTAGATTTTTTCTATAACTCAGCATGTCTTGTCTGATTCCTAAATTTGTGTTCCTGTCCTGAAATAGACTTACAAAGCCAGATGGAACGGAGAGAAAAAGTTCGAACTCTCACCGTTCTTCATCTTTTGCATCAAAAAGCAGCGGAACAACAGAGAAACAGAAGGAGGTAACAATTAACATGTCTGATAAGCATACTAAACTGTCTCCACCTTTTTCCTCTGATATAATAACACGACGAAGGTTTAATAATTCCTTGATAGCTAATATTTCTTTTCTAAATCAGCCTTCCAGGTTTAGTGCAAGAGCTGTAGAGAGGATACAGTTACAGGCCAAACCAAAGGTATTACTCATGAGGAAGTTTCTAGTTTTAAAGCCTCAGAAGAAAAACTTGTTGCAATACTTTTCATTAGTGCTGTGTATGATCTCTGAGCATTACTGTCTAATATCAGGCAGAAGCAACCAATGTGAAAACTCGGAGACAAAGTCTAGATCCAAAAGCAAAAACCATGCAAGGACCCTTCCCAAAAGACTCTTTACACAAAGTACTATGATGTGGCAGTCATCATTTCAAGAACCTTACTGTAACTGATGAGTATTGTTTTTGTCTAATATCCTGGAGGGCTCCATGGTACTGAGTCTGAAGTGCAAAGCCAAGAGCTCCACCAACATTTTTTCAGAAAAAAAAAAAAGATATATATCTCATAAATTTCAGGCAGCACTTAAGAGGTAAAGATTCAATAAAGTTTCCAGTGTTAGTGATGTGAGTGAAAGTATTACTACTACAGTCTTCTGTAAATTTATCTGTATAGAGTTCTGTAAACGTGAGGATGATGCTGTTAACATACTTGAATATCAATCATATTATTTCTCCTGGAATTGCTGTTTTTATATATCCGTCTTACTCTTACACATTTGCAAACTTATTACAATCATCTTTAGACTTATATTTCAAATAGAATTCAAGAACCTACAAGACCATAGGGGTTTCTTTTAGCGTCCATGAGAGACGAAAGATTCAGTGAAGGTCAAGGGAGCAATGGAACTGGACTCAGGAGAATCAGCTGGTTCACCTGAGATTTCAAGACCTGGATAAACTTCTCGAGCTTGGACAATGTCAAGTAAGTTATCAGGAAGCTGAGCCATACTGTTCAATAATTGAATGACCCTGGACATGTTTGGTCTGATGGCTGCTACCGGATGTGAACAAAGTAAGCCGAGTTTCAGAACGAGTGCTGCTTGCTCCTCGACATACTCCTGTCCAATCTTATGATCAAGAACTTGCATGATATCTCCATTCTCCCAGCACTCTAGCACCCAATCAGTCAATACCATCTCGCTTTGTGATGCTCGTGGCAATATGGGTTTTCGCCCGCAAGCAATCTCTAGCATCACTACTCCGAGTGCAAATACATCTGACCTTGTACTTGCCTTTCCTGTTCTTGAGAGCTCAGGTGATATATACCCTAGTGTACCTTTAAAATAACAATATTATGAGTGAGGATATCTTTTGGGGGATAAGTCTTCAATACAAATAAGCAGAATGTTTGAAGGTACCTGCCACATGAGAGGTCTGAGGATCAATCCCGTGATCGCAGAGCTTTGCGAGACCAAAGTCACCAAGTTTAGCTTTCATATTTTCGTCAAGAAGGATGTTGGCTGGCTTAATGTCCCTGTGGATAATGACCTGCACCCATTGCTGGTGCAAATAGCAGAGTCCATAAGCTACGTCTCTGATGATCTTGAATCTTTGTGACCAATCAAGATTTCCAGTTTGTTGGTGGTAAAGAAACTTATCAAGACTTCCTTTGGGCATACAATCATACACCAAGTAGAGTTCACCTTTGTGTCTGCAGTAGCCCTGTAGCCGAACTAAGTTAGGATGTCTGAGTCTGCCAATGGTTGCAATCTCAGCAATGAACTCTCTCATGCCCTGCCTTGAATCATGAGAAACTCTCTTCACTGCAATCTCTACGTTGGAAACTGGTAATGTACCCTTATAGACTTTCCCAAATCCTCCTTTACCGAGAAGCTCAGTATCCTTGAAACCCTTTGTTGCAGTGTGTAGATCTTTGAAAGCAAACCTATGAGGACCAAACTGGACCTCCCAGTCTTCAAGAACTTCAAGTAGCTTCTTCTTTTTCAGGAAAAGCCATAAGCCGAGACTCAAGACGATAAGTATGATGATGCTGGATACTGTCAAACTGATCGTCAGAACCCCCTTCGTACTCTGGATCCATGGCTGAACAAAACGGGGAACCTTTGGCAGGCGAGAAAGGTCTATAACCGGAGCCGTCCCATTCATCTTGAACGTCCAACCCAATATATAGTGAGATGCAGTTAGTGAACCTGTGGATGAGGAGAAGCCAACATACATATACTCAAGCAAAAAGGGAGAAAGATCTTTTTGCAGAGAAAGAAGTGGAGTTGTAGGCTTAGGGACATGAATAGGATGAAGTGTGACATCAAGCTGCCTCCGTTTGCTATCATATTCAATCCACATTTGCATAGGGTCTCCACTAGCAAGCGAGAGATCTGTAAATGTACCATCATCCTTGAAATAACCTGCTGAAGTAGCTATTTCTGAAACTAAGCTGTTTATATCAATACCAACATGGTTGTTATTTATGTCATCAAATTCAGCGCTTTGGACGGTATCGAGCTCAACCGCTACTATATGACTTTTTGGATCTCCTAAGCTGCTTATGTTGAAGAGGCCAAGGTATTGGGTGGGATCAGCATAGGGCAAACCTTTCGTAGGAGAAAGGACAAAGGCCAATCCATGGCCATTAACTACTCCATAGTGTGAAACTATAGCAAAGACGAAAGTGGTGGAGAAAGAGTAGACGCTAGTACCATTTACAGCATCCTTGAATCGAAATGGGAAGTTGTAGAAAACTTGACCAGCTGTTTGTGTTGTTGAATTCGTTAGTCTGAACAAGCCGTTGCTGTTTAGATTGGCCGAACCAGCAGCATATAAGAATCCACCGAAGTCGAACTCTCCACCAGCTGGGTCTGAACCCTGGCATACTACGTTCTTGGGGAAGATCAGCAGCAACAAAAACAACACTAAAAAGAACTGAAACATGATTGATTGATAATACAAACCAAATGTTCATGCCAAGAAAGAAGAGACTCTAGCTCTAGGGGAAGTCAACGAATAGAATGGATCAATACAAAGAAGAGTTCAAGAGTGCTAAAACGGAATAATCAAATCATTTTGAGTGATATTAAATACAATTGAACCTGTACTGATACTGAGGTAATTATATATTTTCACTCTTTTTCACTCCACAAGAGTCGAGGTCAATATTTCCTGAAAAAGATTCTTGCCATTAAACCATTCTTCCAAAATAAAACATTCAGGGATCGATGTGGACAACCAGGGAAATTTCAGGTTTATTACTTTATTGATTCTTCAAACTTTTCAATGCAAATCACCAAGAACATGAAATTATCAAATCGTGCTATTTTAAAATCATTGAACCAGTAAAACTGAAAGGGAGTGCAAAAGAGTCAAATATATGCTTTGTGAAACTATCAAATTCGATTGAACCATTATTATTTTTTTAAACATCAAGTATCCTCTGGGAACCTTCATATGCATAAAAGTATCTATCTTCCTTTCTTAGATTACTCTATTAACTCTTACGTACACAACAAGGCAAAGAGTTACAGTGACTTACCAATCCTAGGTCTGAGAATATTCGAGCGGCCTAAGCCCAAACATAAAAAATAAAAAATTATCCGACTCCCTCTTTGGGATTGTATTATAATCACACAACTCCATTTTAATCCTTGTCCATATTCTTTCCCTCTCTGATCAAACAATCGTGTTATCAATGGAAACAAAGAAACAACCTTATTTCATTTCTAATTAGTTCACACGTCCACCAGAGGGGACAAACGGTTCCGTCATAAGCAAGTAAACGTTATTACTGGTCTCAGGAGACTCAGATTGCTTAATGCATTGAATGACAGGAAGAGCGTCAACACCGTATTAAGAATTGGATTACGCTTGACATGGTTGGTCTAGGGACTTTAAACAAAACACATCATATCACAAATATTGTATATAGAAATTTAATATTGTGAGTCTGTGACAAACCTTGTGTCGTATGATGTGTCTAAGTCCTATTAACATTAATTTCTAAAATATTCAACCCTGTTGTGTTTAATTATATTAAATTCCAACTCAACCAAAAATTTCTCCGACCTCTCTCTTTTTTTAAAAAAATCTCCATTTCACTATATGTTATAATTAAGTAGTATATATCCGAATTCTAGTAAGGATTGTACTAGATATATCCGGAATAAGAGTGGGATCCGGTTTCGGTGCCATGGCGTTAATTAACCTACGCTCTGATGATACCAAAATTGTTAATATCTCTATAGATATAAAACATATATAGAAAGCTTATATATATATCCATCTTCTTCCTCTCTCTAGACTCAATCGTTACATAATGAGATACACAGACGAGGACAAAGAATACTATGAATGCTTGGGCAGGAGCCTTCACAATTATTTTATTAGTCGGTTTCCTTAATTAGTGCTTTTGTTTATGATGCGAACCATAAAGTTACTCTAGTGCCGAATGTTGAAATAGCTTCTATGCATTTCGATGTGCGTAATATTACACAAACTCGTCTTAGCAACTTGGGATTTATTGATAAGGGTTCCCAGTAACCTTGCTGATGACTATTTATGTCCTCAAGGAGACATTCAAGCTTCATTGTCTTACAATAACATTACTCTTGTTACCTCTTCCAAACAAAGGTTTTATATATATCTTATATAATAAGACAAGGTTTTTTCTAACTTTGCCCCACAAAGCGACATTTGGCGCTCTATATTCATGACATGTGTCATTTTTATTAAATTCTAATTTAACATTTTAAAATTAGTTTATTTGTGCTATTGTGTAAGTTATAAGATATGTATTATTTGCTTTTTAAAAAGTGACATTGTGGCAAAAAAGAAAAATTCTCCAGTTTTAATTCTATTTAAATTAAATACCATATAAGCTAAACATAAAATGGAGTAGTTCAAATTTTTTTCTTTGTATTGAAAGAAAATTGGTATGAGTTTTTTTCTTTTAGATTTAAAGTTCAAAAATGACATCAAAATTTCCTCCTCCTTTTAAAGTATTTTTTCCTAAAGTTATTAATATGGGTAATAAATAACTTGTAACATGTTTTTATAATTTTTCAAAAATAAGTTTATAATAAAATAGTTAACGAGAATTGTTTTTTTTTTTACTTTAGCATCGTGAAATCTACTGTAAATAATAAAATTAGAGAAATTTAGACTTTTTCAGTATAATAAAATAGTACACCTAAAATTATTATAAATATAATATATCATGACATTTAATTAAAGAATAATTATCATATTATTAACAAATCATATATATATAAATAAAGTTTCACTCTCTTCTTATTGGTTCAATTGGCATGTAACTTAAAAAAAATATTAGGTATTATCATATCTATATATATATATATATATAATTCACAATTTAATATAAAACTGAAAAACAATTAAACCACAAAACACATTTAGTCATATACATTAAACTCACACTTTAATATAAAAACTGAAATAATATAAATTTGCATTAACTATATTTTACATTGAATTTTTCAGCACACAATAAATTATAATTGATTCCCATAATTGTTTTTATGAAATTGTAACTCCCATCACTTCTCTTCCTATATATACTCATTTTCTCATCCTCTAATTCTCTATCTCAATTATTATATAAAAGAGTAGCTTTGTGTTTTTTTTTGTATGAGTTTTAGAAATCAATTAAAATATTCTTTTATAAAATCTCAATTGTAAAATAAATTAGAGACTATATACATCTTATTTTATTATAATTTTTTTTTTTTGAAAATTCATCTCTATTTTCTTTTTTAGTTTATCATTATATAGGTAATCATTCCCTCACCCTATACCTTTATATTCATGTATCTTTAATATTTTTCTATTTTTATGTTGTTATATGGCATAAAAATCAATGAAATTAACATTTAAGAATTTGATATAAATATTTTTAGAAAGTATGATACAAATCTAACATATTTTTAAATTTAATCGTACTTATAAATTAAGAAAGTATGAAACAACACATGTGTAAAAATAAAATATTTTGAAGGCTATAAAAACAAAAACATTGACCACTATTTTTGTATCCAAACATACAAAGAAATCAACACTTTGGTAGATAAATTAGAGAACTTACCTGGTAGGCTGGTACTAACCTAATATATCTTCTTTAAAATTTTAATATTTTCCATTTCTTCTCTAAAATTTTATTTTTTATTATTTTCATTATTGTTGTATAATTTATTTATGTATAATTCTCATGATGTTATTGTTACATTATTTTAATTTTTCATTTAAATTAGATTATATTATTTTCCTCGTAAGTCGTGGTAGAGAGAAAAAGTGGCTATGGTAAATTGTATGTGACTTTTCTTTTTAGTTAACATATTTTTAAGAATAAATTGCATGTGACTAATATTAAGTTGTTAACAAAAAAAATATTCATGTGTCATTATATAATATTATCCTATATGAAATATTAGAAGATATGATTTTTTGAGAGACCGAAGGAAAAAATAATCAACATTTCATAAGCAATGATTTTTTTGAAAACAAAAAAGAAGATGACATAGGGACAAACCTAAAGTAGATTTATATAGATTACAAGTTCAAAGAGTAGTTTGTAGTGATATAAGACTATAAATCATACTCTTAGTATAAATCATACTCTTAGTATCTAATGTAGTTGAATAAAAAAATATTCTAATGCTTATTTTAATTGATGATGGAATTTGTTGAATACAAATTAATAATTATTTCACTTTTTTTTTGTAAAAAAATATTATTTGTAATGTATTTAAATAATTTATGCAGTAGATAGCAATCTGCATAATATAAAATAATCATAAAACATATACACTTAGTTTTATATTAAAACTTGGAAACATCAAATAAATATTTTATGAGATAATACATAAAAAGGAAGAGAATTACTTAATTGCTTCAATCAAATTGATTCAAAAAAATATATTAAAATTATTATAAATATAATATCAAATTTATCTCGCGCATCGCGCGGGTCTACTTCTAGTATATATATATAGATAACTTTATACTTCAATCTTCAAGTTTTTATATATAACTATTCTGATTGAAATCGCTTGCCTAGGTACACCGATCTTAAATCCGGCTCACATCATCAGCAACTTGGGGTTTCAGCAGCTATCTCTGAAGTAGATATCGGTTTGATTGGGAGAAACATTATGCAAGATATCAAAGAGAAGAGGGAAGTGAAGTTCGGATCCCAACTGTTTCTTACGGATTGTAGAAATGGGACCAAAGGAGGAGTTTTGAGCTATGTGTGTGGTGAAACCACATTACGGTTCGAGCCAGGTTCTGATACCAAGGCCACTAATACGTTTGTGGATAACCCTACTACATGTACTAATTTTTAACTAGTTTTTATTATTAGTCTTAAATTTGCAAATATTTGATTTTACTCCTTTTTTCATGTGTTCTTAAGTTTCTTTTTGTGTTTTAAGATTTGAAACAATTGTTACAAATGTGGAAAGGTAGAGTATATATATTTCTAATTCAGGAAATCGTATAGTCAAAGATATACATTGTGAAGGGTGCACCATATCATGATGACTCAGTGATCTCATTTTAATTCTCTGGAGCAAGCATCGAACCAGACTCATCATGAGCTCCGTCATAGCCTTTTTAGAAGTCGTTAATCATCTTTAACAATATCCTTGTTAAGTTCTATAAGCTTTCTCTTTTCTTTTTTTTTTTTTTTTTTTGTCAATATTATCAAGATCAATTCTTAAAAAATAAAATAAAATAAAATAATTAAATAAATAGCCTTTTTAGTCGTTAATCATCTTTAACAATATCCTTGTTAATTACTATAAGCTTTCTCTTCTTTTTTATTTGTCAATATTATCAAGATCCGTTCTTAAGAAAATACAATTAATTAATTAAATAAATAACACGGTAATTTTTTTGTTTATTTTAGTTTTAAGAACAAATCTTGATGATAATTTTAAGAATCGATCTTCATAATATTTTAAGAACCGTTTTTGTCAAACACATAATCCTTTTTATTTTTTATTTGATTATAGACGTTCATAACTACCTATAAATATATCAAGAGATATAGAAATCATAGAATTCTAAACAAAAGAAGAATCATCAAACCTTGACAATCTTCTTCCTTTTCGCTTCAACCAATCGTTACACAATGACAAACACACGAAGAAGAGCACCGCCAAGAGCCAACTCAGACGACGACATCAACCGCATAGTAATATTATTGATGATGGTGGCACTTGTATTGTTGTGTATGTCAGGTATTGCTGATATAGCCAAGAAAAAAGAAACTCCTGTGGCGCCTAGTATAGAAATAGCTTCTATGGATTTCACGATGCGTAATATTACACAAACTGGTCTCATCGCAAATTGGGATTTATTGATAAGGATCCCTTATAACCTACCTGATGACTATATATGTCTTCAAGGAGACATTCAAGCTTCCTTGTTTTACAAGAATATTCCTCTTGTTACCTCTTCCAGACAAAGGTTCAGTTTATAATTCAACCTTCTAGTGTTTTTTTTTTTTGGTTTTAGTGTTAAGCTATCTTCTATCTTCTAGTGTTTACTATTTAAAACGTAACTGGTTATAATAATCCTGACTCAAATCGCTTGAATACGATTAGGTACATTGATCTAAAATCTGGCTCAGCTCAACAACTTAGGATTTCAGTAGAAGAAGATATAGGCGGTTTAGTTGGCAAAAACATTATGAAAGATATTAAAGAGCAGAGGGAAGTGAAGTTTGGGTCGCACTTGTTGCTTACGGATTGTAGAAAAGGCACGACCGGAGTTATGAGCTATGCGTGCGATGAAACCATGCTGCGGTTCGAGCCAGATTCTGAGACCAAGGCCACTAAGTTTGGGAACAACACTACCTGCTTTAATTTTTGATTAGTATAATTCTTGTTAATTTTGCTAAGATTTGATTTTAACTCTTTTTTTTTTCTTGATTTCTTTATTAATTAATATCACAAGAAAAAAGCTTAGCCGATGGATTTTTGGCAATATAGAGTCCATCAGTTCTAGAGCGTTGGAAAAATATATTCACGAATTTAAAGTTAAGTCTCAACCAAAAATATCTCCCACTTCTCTCTATTTAACAATCAATATCCATAATCTTCTAGTTTCGGCCTAGGATTCAATCACTGGCCTAAGCGGCAGAGTACCATTCTTGTAGTTATCTAAATATCTCATTCATTTAGGTTATAAAAGAGTTCTAAATGGCATTATTTTTATTTTTTTTATTAGTATATATCCAAAGTCTAGTTAGGATTATACGGAATATCATGTATAATATACGTACTCAATCACTGGCCTAAGCGGCAGAGTACCATTCTTGTAGTTATCTAAATATCTCGTTCGTTTAGGTTATAAAAGAGTTCTAAATGGCATTATTTTTATTTTTTTTTATTAGTATATATCCAAAGTCTAGTTAGGATTATACGGAATATCATGTATAATATACGTACCTCATTCATTATTATCTCATTGTTTTATGTGGAATCATTAATAACTCTTTATATATGGCTATATTAAAATACATATAAAACCTTCTTTGTCTTAACCCTCTCTCTGTAATCAAATCGTTGTACAATGGGAGACACGGAAAAAGAATCACGAGACTGCCACCTCAAGATCATGTTCGTCTGCTTTTATTTGTATGGTCTTTGTAATTAGTTCTTTTGTTTGTGGAGCGAACCAAGAAACTCCTGTGCCGAAAATAGAAATAGCCTCTATGGATTTCACCGTGCGTAATGTTACACAAACTCGTCTCAGTGCGAATTGGAATTTATTAATAAGGGTTCCCTATGACCTTCCTGATGAGTGATGACTATATTTGTCTTCAAGGAGACATTCAAGCTTCCTTGTTTTACAAGAATATTACTGACAAAGGTTAAGACAGGAGTTATGAGCTTTGTGTGTGATGAAACCACGTTACGGTTATGAGCCAGGTTCTGAGACAAAGGCCACTAAGTTTGGGAACAACCCTATCTGCACTAATTTTTGACTAGTAAGTTTTACATGCATGGATTTGATTTTCCTTTTTTCTCTTATTTACGAGACGTTCTTCACCGAATGTTGAGTTCCTTTTAGGTCTTTTAAAAAGAGTTCTTAAGTTAATTGACAATTTATTTTGGTTTATAACTTGATATTGTTTGGATTGTCACTATTAATGATAAGAAAGACGAAGCAACCTTGTTAATTCATCCTCATTGATCTACAAACGTTTAGTTAACGTCCACTAGAGAGAAACGATTCCGTCATGACCACGGAAACGTTACTACTATCCCCTCTAGACTCGATTGATTCACCTAAAGCATAAAATCCGCCATCGATTATGTGGGCATTCACAAGGTCTAGCAAGTTATGAGGGAGAGTAGCTACACCGTCTAAGAATTGGATCACGCTTGACATGCTTGGTCTAGTGGCTGCCACTGGATGCGAGCAAAGCAGCCCTAGTTTCAAAACCAAAGTTATTTGTTCTGCAAGATACCTGTGCCCTAGCCTCTCATCAACTACATGCAGTATATCTGCACTGTCCCAAGAGTCTAGTACCCAATCACTCAAAACCATCTCGCTCGGTGATCCTCGTGGCTCAATGGGTCTTCTTCCACAAGTAATCTCTAACATGAACACTCCGAATGCAAAAACATCAGAACTTGTGCTTGACTTCCCTGTTCTTGAGAGCTCTGGTGATATATATCCGAATGTACCTTGCGTCCACAATAACAGCAAAACCCTTCAATAAGTCCAAAGATTTTGATTGATTGATTATAATGTGCACAAAAACGCAAACTTACCTGCGACATTAGAGGTTTGAGAATCAATCTCATGGTCACATAGCTTTGCAAGTCCAAAGTCACCAAGCTTGGCGTTCATATTTTCATCAAGAAGTATATTTGCTGGCTTAATGTCCCTGTGGATAATCACCTGAACCCACTGCTGATGCAAGTAACAGAGTCCTGAGGCAACGTCTTTGATGATCTTGAATCTCTGTGACCAATCAAGAATTTGATTTGGTTGATTATAAAGAAACTTATCAAGGCTTCCTTTGGGCATGTAGTCATACACCAAGTAGAGTTCTCCCTTGCGTCGGCAGTACCCGAGAAGACGAACTAAATCTGGATGTCTGAGTCGTCCAATGGTCGCAATCTCAGCCAAAAACTCTCTCATTCCTTGTCTTGAATCATGAGAAATCTTCTTTACCGCGATTGGTATACTAGACAATGGTAAGATCCCCTTGAAAACTTTTCCAAAACCTCCTTTTCCAAGAAGCTCGCTGTTCTTAAAACCTTTAGTGGCGACGAAGAGATCTTTATAAGTGAATTTATGGGGACCAAACTGCACCTCCCAGTCGTCAAGAACTTCCAAGAACTTCTTCCTTTTCAAGAAGAACATAATTCCAAGAACCAAGACAATAACAAGTGTAACTCCTGATATACTCAAACTAATCGCCAAGATCTTGGAACTTAACCGCCGATCTTCATCTTCATCAGGGACTTTAGGAAGACGAGAGAGATTTATATCTGAAACTGCTCCACTGTTGTTGAAATTCCAGCCAAGAATGTAGTGAGAAGAAGTTGGACTTCCCACTGAAGTGAAGCCAGTGTACATATACTCAAGTAAATATGGAGAAAGATCTTTTCGCAAAGAAATCAGAGGAATCTTAGGCTTAGAGATCTTAATAGAATGCATTGTAACATCAAGCTGTTTAGTTGAGTTGTTATACTCAATCCATACCTGTATTGGCTTCCCACTTGCAATATCTAGATTTACCAATCTACCATCATCTTTGTAATAACCAGCCGAACAATTTCCATCCGTTTGCAAGCTATCGACCTTGACACCAACGAGTTTTATATCTTCACCATCCGGTTTATCGCTTTTGGCGGTATGGAGTTCAACAGACACAGAACGGTTAGAGGAAGAGGAGTGGTTGATGTTTGGAACAGAACTCAAGCCTTTTGTAGGAGAGATGTTGAAGGAAAGACCACAACCGGAGACTGTTTTACGGACTGCAACGATTGCGAAAACAAAAGTGGTTGAAAAGGAAGAAACCTTGCCGTTTGGTGAGTTCTTGAACTGAAGTGGGAACTGGTAAAGAACTTGACCAGCTCCTCCTTGTGTCTTTGAAGTTATGAGTTTGAACAAACCGTCCGGGTTTAGGTCAGCAACTCCATCGGTATACAAGAAACCGTTGAAGCTAAACTGTCCACCGGTTGGGTCTGAGCCTTGGGAAACTGAATCCACAGTGAAGAAACAGAAGAAGGAGAATAACAACAACATCTTTAGAAGTAGAGACATGATTGATTAATTTGTGGGATTGTGGAATTTAATTCCTTTTTAGTATGTTATTTAAAAGCATTAAAGCACAAATTTGATAATACTATTATCTTAATCAAGATTAGTCCATGCTATACACGTTCTTCTTCTTGGCTACGCGTTGCTATTGAGGAAAATGCAGAGAAAGTGTTGTGATCATACGTAAAGTTGCCATTGTGCTTTAAAGCTCAAATTATTAAAAAGTTTGATACCAAAAATGATAGCTCCAAGTTCCTCTAAGGGAGACGTATATGTTTTGTTCATATACAAAAATCAACTCCTACTTCATTTAAACATCTTATGCTTTTCTTCTACCCAAACTGAGAATTTTCCAAAAGTCAATAAAGATGGATAAAAATTCATACCATATAAGTGTGTATAACGTCTAAGTTTCATATATTGCAAGCATCACATTGTTTGGAGTATTAGTTAATCCATAAAGATTTGAAAGTTTCGTGCTTCATCATCCATATATTTTTAGTATTAGTTGATAGATTAACAACAATAAAGAGCTATGTTAGGTGAAATATTAACTCCTACTTGTTCAATAAAGCTTTGAGAAATAAGAAAAAAAAATAAAAACTCAATAAAGCTAAGTTCACTTTCACATTTACAATCATCAATCAATTTAGTATTAGTAGATACGTCAACAAATAGCTATACTCTGTTCAGCTAAAGAAGACATGTTCATTAACATGTAAACAACTTCAAGCAAAATTATACTCAAGTCCAATGCTTTGGACTGTCAAATCTACCAACAATTCAATACCTTTCAATGATAATCAATACTCAAAAAGATTCTAGTATTTACAAATAACAACAAATCTAGACTCTCACATGTCGGAATCCGAATCACTCCTACCTCTGTCCGACATGAAATTCGGAGGCAAAACCGGGAATTTCACCGCATTCCGCTGCGAAGAAGGCGATACCGAACTACCAATCTTCCTCCTCTGCATATTCCGCATAATCTCTAAGCATGATTTATCAACCATGGCAAGAAAATCTCTCACAATAACAAATAGATGAAGAGGACTCTTCCCCTTTGTTATAGCTCCTGCTTGATAATAATCCGTTGTACGCTTCACTAGCTCCATTACTTTCCTCTCTTCGTTTTTGGCAGTCTTCACTTCTCCCTCTACTGAATCAAGAAACACCATCATCTTCTTCACAAACCTGCCTCCTTCTCCATCTTCATCACATTCTGCAATCACCGTTCTCGCGTCTTTCGCTCTAACCGTAAGAGCCAAACAAGTTGCAACAACCGTGTCATAGTCTACACTAGCAGCCTTCTTCACATTTGCAAACTCAGAGCTCAGTCCTCCAACTATTGGTAAACCAAGCTTCAAGTACTCTTTCTCTTGCTCTTCTTTGGACATAACCTGAGGACTGTTACTGCCATTGCTGTTACTACTACCGCTTCGACTTAAGCTATGGCTTCTTCTATTCAAAACGCAACGTTTTCCTTCCGCTCTAACCACTTCCTCCACCACAAAGTTAAGCAGAGTAGTCTTCCCATCAACACTTTTAACATCCGAAAGCTTCAAAAGCGCGGTAAGATTAAACGCTTGAGCGTTTCCTCTCGCGGTACCCGCGTTCATTCTGTTACCAGCTTTAAGTATTGCCTCCAAAAGCTTCACAAACAAGCCACGAGATCTTAGCTCTTTACAAGCTAAATCCAACGTTTCTAGACATTTATCATGATGAGCCATCTCAGGGTAGTAATTAGCTCTGAAGAGAAACGCGTTTAGCCTAGTAAACGCGGTTGGCACGGATTTAAGAAGATGAAACAGAAACGTTTCCGCATCAGCAAGTTTTGCCGTGTCGCCATCAAATTCAAGAATAGCTGATTGTTCTTCTTTCGTCGGAGCTATTCTAGCTAACCTCTCAAGTGTGTCTGGCACGAAATCGTTTCCTTCCATGAGTGCTTCAACAAGCTCTTCACGTGTCATACCTAAAGATTTGAGCACAATCGCTGTGTTTTGGGACTTTCTCGGATCAAGTATGAAGATTTGTGATGATTTAGGGTTTTTATCATCGCCGTATTCTGGAGATTTCTTCCCCACGGCAACGTATCCGAACAGAGCTTCCATTAAATCGCCATCAAAACTGAGAAGAAGGAACCAAATAAATTGATTGAACTAAAAAAAAACTAACTTTCGAAATCGATTTGTGCAAGTGTATACATACCTGAATGAGCCACGATCGATTTTGTCCCAAACCATTGAATGATCAGAATCAGGGTTTACTTTATCCCAATGTAAAGGCTTCAGCTTTACCTGTTTCGAACCCTCTCCTCCACTTGATCCTTTAACCGGCGCAGGCGGTGGTTTCGAAGCTGATGATGATAAAGCTCCAACCTTTCTCACCGGCGGAGGTGGCGGTGGCGTTGGTGACGAACCCTTCTTTATCGGAGGAGGTGGCGGTGGTGGTACTGATGCACTCTGTTTCACCGGAATTGGCGGTGGTGGTACTGATGCACTCTGTTTCACCGGAATTGGCGGTGGCGGTGGTGGTACTGATGCACTCTGTTTCACCGAGATTGGCGGTGGAAGCGTCTGATGATCGTCGTTATGGATTACACTGTGAGAAGTCGATGATCTTCCTCTAAGAAGAGGAATCTCAGTGATGGGCTCTGTTTTTTTCTTGTTCTTGTAATAAATCACCTCTTTCTCGTCTTCTTCTCCGGCGATGATCTGTTTCTTGAAACTCCCACTTCTCTCTCTCTGACTCTGTAGCTTTCTCCAATACAACACATCGAGACCGTTCTCATCAAGGATCAAACCTTTCACACCACCAAACCGCGTGAAACCTTCTCTAGCCAAAGTCGTACTCGTCGCCACCGCCGCAGCAGTCTGAGGATGAGGAGGATACGGAGGTAAGTTGCTTTCGACGCTGACTGGTCCGACTCTGTCTCTTCGTCTCCGCCTCGCGACGACGCATTTCTGAAGGCAGAAGAAGAAAACTGCTGCTACAACTATAGTGCTTGCTGCTGTTATAAGGACAGCTTTCGTGATTGTTCCTCTATCGGAAGATGACGAGTTATTCGACGGCGGAGATGGGTTTGACGACGGTGAGATACGCGGTGGTGAAACAGGGGAGGGTAGTGGAATTGGGAAGAAAGTTTCGATATTTTGAGGAGAATCGGATTGAGAAAACGAAGGGAGAGGTAAAACGATGAAGAGGAAGAAGAAAGTTAGGGTTAAGTTTTGAGGAAACGGCCATGGTTTCTTGAACATGGCAGCCATTAACGATTTAGCTCATTTACAGAGAGATCAAATAAGGGAACACACACACAGAAAAAAAAAATGAATACTTTGAAACTTTCTAAGTAAAACGTTTTTGTTTATTTTCAAAAAAAAAAAATCGATTCCCAAAGATCTCAGGAACTTAAAACGGAAGGTTTAGTTTGAAATTAAAGAAATATATAAATTCGTGTTTTGGTAGGTTTTTTAATTTATGTGGGAATTTGGAGGTTTTGGTAATAATGTTTAGTTGAAGCAGAGATTAGTTGATCTGTTCTTCTTCTTCTTCTTCTTTCCCGGGTCGGTTCTATATTAGTGGTATATGACGAAACACCCTTGTTAAGAGAATTAACTTGTAAACAAACATAAGGGTGTTTTAGGTAGTTTAGGTATAATCGTATTCGTGAGACTGGACTTATTATTAATGGAGTTGGTGCGGTCGATGTTTATTATCATCGTTGACTCTGTCCAAAAAGTAGTGGTGTTGCTTCTTTTTTTCTTTCTAGAAAATATTTTGAAGTCTTTAACTAAACTAAAAGCCAAAAAACACATTCCCATTTTTAGATACGGTTTCAATTATTAAAGTTTGAAGAAAAGTGCAAATTTCTATGGCAATTTAATGAATACACATTTGATGATATCGACAAAAGGTTTGCAAGTTTGGAAACTTGGGAACGTTAAATACAAATAATACCTCGAACTAACAAATACCAAACGCTTGGGGTGACTCGATCGGATTCATTACGTGTATGTATGTTTCTGTACTGAGTACATATAATTTCCACCGCAATCTTAGTCGGTCAATGGAATAAGGATTGAGATCAATGATAGTGGATGATCACCATTGCAAGACGAAGAAAGAATATACAAATACAAATTATGGTAATGCTAAATTGCATAAAGCTTATGGAATATGAAATTATGAACGTGTAAATTTTCAAAGAATCTTAATTTTTTTTTTTTTTTAACTTGAGCCTTAAACAAAGTAATCCTTTAAAATATATTTAAACCCGTGGCCGGTCGTCTCTACTAAAACCTTAAAATGTTGAACGCGGTAACATACTCGTCTAAGAAAAGTAGGGAAGACAAAATGAAAATAACCCTTTTTGTCAACTCCCATATTATATAGTAATCGCGTAAAATGATTAGGTTCCATTAAATATATATGGTCTTCATTTTCTAACATTAGTAAATGATGAGAAAGTTATATTATTATCTTCTTATGCAAATTACACATTATGTTTTGGGACATAATTTTACAAAGTGTTAATGACTGCCTAAAGAAATATATATGATAGTCATTTGGTAATTCATTTTTGTCTATTCTTATTGATCGACCTTACTTTTCGACATCTAATGCCCCTTGACCATAGATTTAACTGGTTCATATCTATGTTTAAATTTAGTCATTGAAGCTATTTATCACCAAAAAAAAAAACCCTATAAAAATATTACCTACATTGACGCCTTAAGATTTCATATTACTCAAAAAGTATAGTATATTTTAAAATCCAAAAAATGAGTAATCTCATTGTTTTTGTATTAGCTATCGCTATGTGTTTTGGTTTGAACGAAGGTATTGTGTGTAGTAATCCTAATAACCAGTTGGAACGATGTGGAGGCTCTGGTTGTGCCCTAAACACTTTGAAACTACGAAACGAACTCGGTCGTGGTAGTCTTCTCAAAATCGATTGCACATCCAACCAAAACAAGAAAACAGGTCCACGCGATGTTAGATTCAATCAGTCATACGCTTTTGATTTCGAAGAGGTTCATTCCCACAGAATAGTGTGGGCTTGTCATTTGAGGCATGGTCCAAAATTGGAGTATCATCAGAGCATATGGAGAGCATATAGAGGAGCTGCTACTAAACGATGTGGTCAAACACGTACATGGATTGCTAGACCTAATGGTATTTACATGAACAAAAACTTCGTACCGCAAGGGTTTCGATTTGCATGGCTTAAAAGATGAGTCATCTTTTTTAAAAAACAATTATTTATTTATTTATTGTGTACTAAATCATCATTCTAATATTGGGATTTAGAATATACAAGAATTCTTTTTCTATAAAATAGGATTTTGTATGATATATCTACATATATTGTAATCAATATTTTGAATTATATATCATATTATTGTCCTTATATACTGATTCTTTTTCAAGAAATTGTCTTTTACTCCAAGCCATATCACCTTCTTCATCTTGTACAAATATACAATCTTTGATCAGTTTCTATAAAAACAAAAAAAACAAATGGGCCTCACGATTATAAAATAATGGGCCTTACGGATTAGAACAAAATGGGCCACTAGTGTTTTTTTCAGATTCTTTCATATTTCCCGTTCCGGGAAAGCAACGGAGGCGGTTGTCTTAGTCGCCGGCGGCAAATGGAGTGTGCCGCGCGTGGCTTTTCTACGCGGTGCGTTGGTCCAGCGATGCGGAGGTGTGGCCAGTGTGGTGCTGTGGCGTATTGCTCAGTCTCTCATCAGGTTTTTACTTCTGCTTACTTTCTTAAGCCTTCTTCTTCATATCGACCTAATCGGTTCTAGAGAAACAAAGACGTAGTGATTTGATCGATCTCTTGTATGCTTGTTAGATAGGTTTGTAGTTAAGATTTAATTAACTCATGAAAATTTTACATTAAGAGTTCAATCGTTGTTTGACAAAAAAAAAAAAAAAAAAGAGTTCAATCGTTTGATCAATAGGTTCATTGTTAAGTTTTGTGGATGATCTTGATTTGGTTGTAGAGTTCACATTGGAGCTATCACAAGGATGAATGTAAGAGATTAGAAGAACAAATGCGTCGTGTTGATCTGTTAAATGATTTCCCTTTTACATTTACAGAAGAAGCTACAGTTCAGGTTTGTGATAACTTATGGATGATATTGAGGAATCTAATGCCTTTTTTTGGTTCATGAAAATTTAGCTCAAAGTTTGTTTTTTTTCTTCGTTTATTTGTGCTTAGGTTAGTCGAAAACAGGAGAGTAGGTGCTCGTTTCTCAGCAAAAGGGATTTACATCCTGTTGGAATGTGGATGTATGAGTGTAAATGTGGAGCCTCTGCTTCTTTTTCGGCTTCTGATAGGTTTTGATCGCTTATCTTTCTCTCTTTGTCTAATGAGAATTACGTTTTGATTTTGAGCCATTGTAAATTGAACTGATTACTATCTTTTCTGTACAGTTTTAGAAATGAAGGTTGGCATCTGCCAAGTTCTTCTTGTCCATGTCGTGGTAAGATCCAGTTTACTTCTATGTTTGTGGTTAACAAAAAGTTTGTTTTTTAATAGATTTCTGATTTGGGATCACACAGGCCCTTTATATTCAGTTACGAAACAGCTTTGTAGTTGGACGGGTTATTTTGAGTGGAGAAAGATACCTCTAGATTCTCCTGTAGCTCTACTTCTCCACTGGGTAACAGTTTTTGTAATGATTAATGTGATTGCTAGTATAGCTAGAATGCTTGACGTTTTCAATCTATTGACTCATGGAGCTTGCTTTTATTTCAGCCACTTACGATATATCATGCAATTCAAGTCGTTGGGATGGGAAATTTGAGTCCGCAAATAAGTGATGAACTTCGCATACATTATCTTGGTATGTTTCACTCTGTAACTGTATTCTCTTTGAGGTTGCTTTGTTGTTTCTCTTTCTTGCAGTTTTTTGCTAATCACCTTCATTGTACTTAATTCTAGTGTCGTACCTTATTCTTGGCATATGGAAAGTATATAAATATTTGGAAAGATACACCATAGCAACTATGATATAAATTCTGATGACATGGTTTGCTGATAGTTTTGAGCTTCTGAAGGGCCTCAGAAAGAGCTTGGCCAACTTGGTGTCTTCACTGAGCTGCAAGCCCTCTTCCCTGGTCTGCAAATACGTGTAGAGCTTGTTGGACCTGACGTTCCACAACATATGTGAGTCCCGCATTCCACAATCTGTTTGATTGTTTTGTAAAACACTCGTTATATTATTAGTTAGGCAAAGTAAATTACATCAAAAGATATGTTTTCCTCTTTACCACTTTTCATTAGAGTACTTAAAGCTGTTCATCGGCAATGTTGTAAGCTGTTTTTGTGTGTGTGTGTGTATTGACATAAATATGATGAATCTTTTCATTTTGCTCTCTTGGTGACAGGGATGGAGAGATGATCTCGCTTAGCAGATACCCCCCTTGCATGGCAGAAGAATGCGAATGTAATTATTCAAGCGAAATTCCCAATCTCGGTAACGAATCTGCCTTGTCTTCAGCTGTGTCGTTACAGCTACATAGAGGATTTTACCATGATCGTTACAGTGACATAACAAAGGTATCCCTTTCTACTCATCTAGAAACGGTAATCTACAGTAGTGTTCTCAAATGTCATATCCATTTTTATTGGACCTTGAATTGATTGACCTTCTCTTCTGGGCAGGATTCACCTCCTCCTCACATAGTGATTGCTCCAAACGCTGGCGTTGCTGCATATCCAAGTTGGTTGCCAACTATTGTACGTTTTTCCAATAGCTGATTTTCACATTCAATCTTTCGCAGGAATATCATTTATATATCTGTTCTTCATTCATGAGTTGGTGTGAATAACTTCAGGAACTGATAAAGGAGATAAAAGTCCCAGCTGTATTCACTGATTACTGTGAAGAAGCTTGTCATCTGGCGGCTTGTTGCATTAAAACCATCACAGGACAACCTCTATCATTACCTGTAAGTCTAGATTATAGATTCACTATTCTATTCAACTTTTTTCAAATCTATGTTTTTTGTTATGTGGGTTCCTCCTGCATAAGTTCAGGCTTATGTCTCATCAAAACTGTAAAAGTAGAATAGAGAGTCGACACATATACTATATAATGAAGTTGAAGGAGACAAAAACACCAGTTTTTCATCATTATCTATACAATATTCATCTTTGGGGCCACACACACAGACACACTAATGTCCAGTTCTCCAATCAACCTTTTGTGGACAATGAAAATATAAACTTTTTTCTTATAACCATATTGATATGTATGGAATGGTGTATCCTTGAAATGCAGATTGATTTGAATCCATTCAGACAGCCGATGGCCGTGGAGGAGAGTCCTCTGTTTATCCCTTGCTACTCAAACTGCTTCATCTTCGCAATGTAAAACTCTCCAACACTGTTGATCGGCTATGTGGTTCCATGCTATTGTCTGGGAAGGACCGTACCAGTCTATGGACCAACATTATCTCTTCAATGAATTGTAGAAAATGTCACATCATTTTGTTTTGGTTGTTGTAGTTATTTATGTGGATAGGACCATCATGTGCATACATACAATCATTGTAGTCTTTTTTATCATTAGATGAATAATTTTATCCCATCAAAAAGTACTTCTAGTCAAAAAAAAATTCTACATGTGTCTCATGTCAAGTGAAATAATGCAAAAAAGGCAAAGTTCAAAGCATTGGACTTTTTTTCATCATCTTATTATATAAACCTTGGTTTTCAAAGTTAGCCATTAACAAGATCGTGACACGTGTCAATTATAATTGATAAGATATTGACACATGTCGTAACTAATTTTGTTAATATTTGGATAATATAGAAATATTATTAACCTATCGAAAAAGGAAATATATAAAATAAATATTATTAATAAAATATACAAATAACCTAATTTCAGTTATGTCAATTTGGTTTATCAATAAGATAGGGATTTAAAATTTATAATTAACAAGAATATATGACGATTTTTGTTTACAGAAGAGAATTAAGGTTTAAACTTTAATTTTACGATTAAATCAGGTTATTTGTTGGTTTGGGTATATAAATGATAAATAAGAATTATGTTTTATC